GGTGCCTTTTCTAAAGATTTCCATTATTGCAACAGGCAGCACTGAACAAGATAATCAGACTATTAAAGGGGGTCTTGGTATATCCAACTATGGTGAATATATGTCTTTTGATAGTGAAGATTGCCTCAACAATGAGCACGAAGAATGCTCACTTTGGTCTGACGCTAGGGCAAGGGATCATTCTGTTGGAATTGATAATGCCAAATTTACAAATGCTTTTGCTAAAGATGCACGTTCAATTGATGATCCAGTGTCTCAGTTTATAGAGACTGTTCCAGATTCTGAAAATCCGTCTTCCAATGATCCCCCAGAGCTGTATCTACCTGGTTCTGTGATTCACATTGTACTGGAGAAGCAAACATCACAATCTGATCTTAGGACGTTGTGGAGAATGCAGGAGGGGGGAAGATGTTATAAAGCTTATATCGCAGATAGAGAAAGCTTCAAAGATATTATTGTTTCACCATCTATGTTCCTTGATCATCTTCCTTGGAGGTAAGACAGATTACACAACCAGAACCTTTTCTCATTTCTAAATTAAATTGTTTGACCAGTTCTCACCGAAGTTACTTGGTTTGGTCAATTGTTGGACTTGCCAGATGTCATGATGCCTTGCGAAAGATATTGAAAGCTCAAACTGCTGAAGATCAAGTAACAGTACCTCACATCATCTGATATATTTTTGGACAGCAGTAGAACTTACTACGAACTATACTAATTTTTTGCTCACGGTTCTTCCTACGTTGATGCCTCTCGGTGAAATCAAGATCAATACCATTTTCGAAAGAGTGAATGTGCTTATTCATTATACTGTATATAATTTCTGCACTTGTGAGCAATGACAATAATTTATACTGTTCATAATTATTTGAAAGGGTAATTTGTATCATAATTAATTTAATTATAAAAATACAATCTGTTTTGTAATTAATTTGATTACTATTAAATTAATTCCACTGTAATTAATACAATTCATTTAAAAGGGAATTTGTACTGTAATTATTAAAATAATTAATTTAATTTCTATGAAGAGAAATTATTACAAAAATTACAATGTTGAATTATATAACTATTTATACTCAGATAACTTTTTTTTACATTGTTGATACATTTTTAAGAATATTTCAATCTTAGTATTTTAGAACTTTAACTTCTAATCTTTATAATTATTTTTATTTATTATATGATCATGTTGAGCTTGCTAACTTTATTAACTGTTGTGCGATTCTCTATGTATATGGCATGATTAACCTTTGTCACACATGATGATTTGCAGAGCGTAAATTACTGGTTTTTTACTACCTCGCAACTCTGTCATCTCGGAAGAGTAATTTGACCGGATGCTCCTTGGTATATGGTGTTTGGCATGGCTTAAATGTCATGATTGTTTTTCAAGTGAATATGATGTTATGCAAGCTTTTTTCTAAAAGAAACTATCATGGGTAGGTGAATGATGTTCGAAGTCCCACGTCAACTAGAGATAAGTTCAATTCATAGTTTATAAGTAGGTGCAAACATCATCCTATAAGCTGGTTTTGTGTACTTGAGTTAGATTTAAAGCCACTTTCTAAACAAATGGATATATTGGACAAATGTGTTGCAGGTAAGGAAAAAATTAGAAATAAAAATATTTTTTTGTAAGTTTAAATTAGTTTATTCGAAAATTAATTTAATTTATAGGAGTTTTTTTTATATAGTTTTCTAAATCCTTTTTTAAAATGAATTTATGGGCAAACCTTCATCCTTGTAGACAACACGAGCGTAACCAGTTTCTGGTTTGAAAGTTCCATGAATGCAACTCTGACATGCAAGAAGTGAGCTAGTTAGTCCATTCTGGCAGGAAACTGAATGAGAAGCTTTGAGAATGGAGAAGCTTTAACCAGTTTGGATGAGTAAAATTAACATGTGCATGCTTTATATTGCCCCTCCTTTTTCAGGTGGTACTTCCTGAGTTCAGCTCTTAAAATGTACTATGCGTATCTGCATGCTGTACGTTGGATGCTACATGGAAGCTGCACAACTCGTTATGATCAGAGAAGGGGAGAAAAGAAAAGCAATTATATAGTCGTAGTCTCATGATTAGTGTATGAAAAAGGTGAAAGCATGATTCTACGAAATCAAATATATATATTCAAATCAAATCTAAAGTGAGCCAAACTTTGGAGTGGCACTGTGAGGCTTTGAAAAAGCATGATGATTTCTTTGCGGTCAGACACCACGATGATGTCTTGTAGTTGAGCAGGCACAGAGCTTAATTAAGATTCTGTCTATTCACAAGTAATAGCTTTGGAGTAGCATTTATGATAGCAACTGATAACAAGTGGCAGTGACAGTGGTGGACTCTGTGAGATGGGAAGTGGGGTTCATGATCGAAATATTTTCTCCTTTTTTAGGATACAGAGAATAAAACGAGGACTTCAGAAAAAAAAAATGAAAAATGGAACACAGGATGTAAGTATGTTACTTCTGTGTGGCAGGTCTTTTCTTTGCAGCCAAGTGGATCATAAGGATTTCTTTGTTGTCAGAATTCAAGATGGTGTCTTCTGATTAAAGAGCTTGAGCTAAGAAAAGTGCTTCAGACAAAGCTGCCAGAGCTTACAGTGATTTATAAATATGAGCACATAAGCCAAATGTTTCGGCCTTAAACTTCTAAAACTACATTTGAAACTTGAAACCAAATATGCAAATAGGTGAATCTTGGAATTCTCATTTACTCCAAAATATTAGGCCCCCCACATGAAAAGTACAAGTTATTATTTTTTTTTTTGTATAAACACAAACGTTTTTAGGTGATGAGCTGCACAAGATCCCAATATAGCTTTTATTGGGTGTAATAGAATGAATGGATTAGATTTTATCTGTTTTGGGAAAGCCATCATTTTCCACTTTTATTAGCAGTCTGCCTGTGCAGTTAATCTACACATGTAGCAAACGTTCAAGGCAAGCCATGTATGAAAAATAAGAATGCCTTATATCATTTGTCTTCCTCAACTCCACAAAATTCTGATCCCAATTAATATTTCAGGAGTTAAAAACTCACTAGGTACACCATTTTATTTACTGACAACATTCTTGGTAGAATGAGTAAATCAATGTCAGAGGAAAGATAACTGACCTTACTTGCCACACAGTTTAAGCAAGTAGGGCCTTCTGATAAAAACGTGGCCAAGACAAACTTGGCTACGGAATGACTTTTCTTACCAACAGTCATTGCAATAAGTATCCATGCACATTTATATATCTTAGTTATTAATTTGAAATGGATGAAATTTAAGCCCGGTATTTTATCTTAGTCCATTTCTGAGTTTTACTCCAAAATCCATAAATAAAAGTTAACATAACATCAAATGTCGAATTCAGATTCTCTACTTATTTTTTGGGTATTGTTCTCTGTGGAGAGACGTTATGAAAAATAGATTTTATGAAAGCATTTTTAGTGGAAACTCGATGGATTGGAAAGAAGATTATAAACATTTAAGGAATGGCACCTAAGTTAGTTGTGGTGTGCCCCCACTTGATTCCACATTTTAGGAGGCATGAGGACAAATTTGGTGAATGTGTTGATAAAGTTTGATACTTGCATTGCAACCTTGGGTGGGTCACTTTCTCTTTATTACTTTATGGACTATTAATATTTTGGGATTGACTATTCTCCTCATACTTTAATGTGTTATATACTACACAAGTTTTTAAACATTTTTTTTGTCAAATTCAGATACTTTTATGTGCAATTGCAACAGTTGTTGCTTCAATGACAGATGATTCTTAGTTGCAAGGCAATTGTGTTAACTGTGTAATTCCTATTTTTTGCTTTGGTGCCTCAATTATAACTCTTAGTTAGAACATTAGTTAGTTCCACACAAGCAAAGCTAAGGAAATATAGCATAGCAGCCTCATGAAAAGTGGGGTTCATGGATCTCAGGGACAGGGTTAAAAACAGACATATCTGTTGAAAGAAAAGGTGAAGGGTGAAGTAGTCAATTCACTGTGATTTTGGAATAATCAGAACATGACAATATGTTTCACAATGTTTGCTTTTCTTAGGAAGTTTATGAATTGATTGGCGTCCTTATCTCCGCACTCACAAACAACTTCTGTAAACCACTGAAAACGAAATAATTGAAATTGCAGTTTGCTTGCACATACAACAAATCATTGCAAGTTTTAAAAAATGAGAATGGGGGTATTAAAGAACTTTATGAAGTGCAAGCAAAATTTGAAAATTTGTATGAAGCTTGATTTTGGGTCAATCCATGATTAACTTTTTGAAATTGGGGTATTTGATGAGGTGAGAAAGTAAAAAAAGAGAAACATAGGATACCAAGCGAGCGAGAATTTTGAAGTGAGGTGAATGAGTTGCAGTAATTTGATACGTTTTGAAAATTGGAGGAAGCCAAAGACTTTTCTTCAACCAAAACAGAGGAAAGTTCTCGTCTGGTTCGTTAAGGACACAAGAGAAAGAGAGTGTGACCTGTGATGATTAGGTTTCCATTTGAAATATAATAAAAATGAGAGCAATAGACTCCACGTGGGAGAACAAAAACGAGGCATATGGGTCCAATTTTCATACAATATATCTCCATCTTCAACACCCCAACCCAATCATTTTATTAAAATATGTTTTCTTTAGCTTGCTTTTTAAGATAGTAATGTTTCAATTATTGATCATTCCCATTATTCTTCTTCTTAATATCTTCTACTAAAGCTACACGTATTTCATCTCCACAATACAATTCATTTTATAATGCATCCATCTAAAATGTTCAATGTTTCTATTCCTAACCCTGCTTTTCTCTTATTACCTTTTCAAGAAAACACATGATAATCACATGACTTCATATCAAACTTTTTTAAAGCATGATTTAATCTGAAAATTTACCAACCAAACATCTAATGTGCAGTAGAATTACCGTAAGGCTTTGCAATAAAGTGATAAAGGGTTTGGCTGTACTGAAATAAAAGAATAGTGTTCCCGGGGAAATCAATGAGTTGAAGTCCGAAACTTACTGGCATACAGATGCAAAGCATATGGATTATTAAAGTGTACATAAAAATATTGGAATGAAAACGACATGCTATACTTTTATGTTTTGTCCACCAACATGATTGAGTGATTGAAAATAATAATAATAATAGCATCACAATGACTTTTGTAGAATATACTGCGTGAGGGGCCTGAAGTGGGAAAGAAGAAGGGAAATTGGGATATATATGTAAGATATATCCATGTTAGCAGTGGCTCACAATTTTTCAGACAAAAAGGTTAACCATACCTTCAGTTTTTACTATTATCATTGATGCATGCACAGTTTGAACTAAAGATGAACCCTTGCAATATTGTATCAGATTTTCTCCAACTGGGTAGCACAGAAATCACGGGACTAAAAAACCATGATGGGGCATTTGTGCCATCTTTCGTGTTATATGTCGGATCTGCAAGAAGCATGAAATCTACGTAAATGCCATGAATAATACAAATCTTATTGCTCTAGGAATGGATTCAAATTAATGTATAAAGCCATATAAACTTAAATTTGTCCATTACAATTAAATTAAATGCCCTGTTACAAGGTGCAGCTACCACTGTCAGAGATCCATGTTTCCTTTTGTTGTTGTTTCATCTTTCTGTCAACATATGTTTACTGATCTGTAGCTGAGCAGTCACATCTGCAATAACACGCGGAGGAGTGTTATAATTTATTGAACAAGCGTACATGTTTAGGTATCATTAATATCATTAATTTCCCAGTCTCTCACCTAAACTCCAATTTTAAAATACATAGAGGAAGTTTAGATTAACGATATGATCTGCTTAAACTATGTATGTTAATCAAACCGCACAAACCCCCATGTGAAAAACAAAACTACCATCAAATATACTCCTTGTAGAGCCAAGTTTGACCTTTGTAAGTTCTATGGAAACGATGAAACACAGGCAACGGTTGAGAATAAACAAAGTAACATTGATAATAGTTTTACTGTGAATTTGTTGAAAGTTGTGAAGACATAATGGAGCGGACAAAAGACTTAACATAATATCCAAATTGCTTTTTTTTAATGTGGTCGCGGGCCCCGGCGGCTGAGGGAAGACATTGTGCTTGTTTGAAGCATTTCATCATGCACGTGGTCCACACCTCCCTAATTATGTTATGCCCTCTCTCTCTCACACACACACAAAAACAATTTTTCTATATACTAACTTAATCATCAAATCCTTCCATCCTTCTCATCTTTATATATCATACTGCATACAAACACATACGCCAATCTCTTTCTCAATTCTACTAAAATTTTCATCATCAAACATAATCATTAAACAGTACACCGTTGCCTTTTTCATCATCACAGCTGTATGCAACTATATATTTTATTCATTTCCGCTTCCATTCTCTCTATGTTCTTCTCTTTCTTTACATCACTCACTCCAACTAATACGAATTCAATTCACCCTAAATCATTTACCTCCACTCTATACATGTATATATATTCTTCTCTCAAATCAAATATTGCAGATCATGACGTACGATGCTGTCTCATTTTTCAATGAAAGAAGAAAAATGCAAACGAATTAGGACGACAAAGGGTTCAAAATTGTATCCCAAATTACAATTAATCACAAATTTTATGCCAAAATTTGTTAAAAGCTAGTTGGAAGATGACAGCGGCATTTGGTGGTATTATTGACTAACTAAAAGAAAAGGGTGGAGCCTAAACTTGCACACAAGTCATAATGAAGATGAAGTAAAGTATAAGAGGTTGATAATTTCCCCATATGCACAGTATATGTTTGTATAAATGCTTGTATGGCATAAATTTGAATGGTTTACTTTTCAAACACCAAGAAAACGATTCAAACACTTTTTAATGGATAGATAATGATGTTTTACTAGTTACTAATAATATATATAAAACCTAATTAATGAAGATACACAGCTGGCTATGAAGATATTAATAATAATAGTAAAAAAAATAATGGATAGTATTGTACCTTGGATTGTCCAACCAGGAAAAGCTGGTGCAATGCAATATCAGGCATAAATCTATCTTCTATATCCTATCCCTACTTTTTACATATATATATATATATATATTTAACAATTTCATACGATGTCTAGTGGTCCTAGCTACACTTTTCCTTTATAGGGTTGAATATAATAAATTAAAATCAAATTTAATTTAATTATGTGTCATTTACTTGTAAGTATTTTCTGAGAACATATTATTTATAAAAGCTTGGAAAAATAAATGGTACTAAGATAAAGTTATGGTACGTTTTTCAAGTAAATAATACTAATCAAAGCCATTACAGAATGAGGTTAAAATTAATTTTCCTTGTTGGGAGACAACAGAGACAAGTAGAATCAGATAACAAAAAATATCCATAGAATGGGGTGAGATTGTAAAAATGTTTTTTTTTTCTTATTGTTTACAGTATCATGGCTGTGTTCAGTGGCTTTGACACGTGTCCCAATAAAAAACAAACAACAAAATTCAAATCTGACATGAAATTGCAAACCTTTGAATATAATAATACAAGTAAACCGAATAAACCATAGTTAAAATTTATAATATAATTATTATTTTATGCTCCTCCTGATTCTTCTACAACGGCTATTTTTTTTAATTTATATGGTGTCGGTGAGTTTAGTGTTATGTCTTCTTCATGTTCATTACATATATTCTTTGAATTAATGCTATTCAACTCCTTCATTACTCAACTTGATCCTATTATATAATTAATATATTAATTATAGAAAATCATCCACAAATATAAATACACTTAAGTTTCGTTCACAAATAATTAAATTAATCGATTGTAAATCATGTTTACTAAATATTTCACTAGCAAAATTTGCCACACCATTACTTTTTATTTTTTAAATCTTAGTCAAAAATAATCTTGAATATTAACTTTCCAAACGCACGCTTAATTAATATTTCCTCAAATCTCATATACAATAGAAAAAATAGTTTACATTAATTAAAAAAATTATTATGTAATGTTTAATTCTATTAATTTCATTTCAATAAAAGAATTTATAGAATATCATTTGTTAGAACTTAGTATAAATAAATAAAAGAGAGTAATCGAAAATGAAACTCCAGTTAAATAAATATATTTTAATATATACTTTGATTAGGTAAGTTAATTGAGTTTTGTTCCTCTTCTTATACTTGATAGAGGAGAGAACATCAAATATTTTTAACTAATTAGTTTAAGAATAATAAGTATCAAACGATTTTCATTATTTTAACATGACGTAAATTTGTTTCTTTTATCAAACATTTTTTTATTGAGAGTTAGGTTAACTTCTGTATATTGGCATTTGATTTTTATGAATAAAAAACATATATTTTTATTTTATTAATCTATATATTTTATGAATTCTCATTAGAAATGTTGACAACTGTGTCTCCAGGACATTATTTAATACAATTTTATCAACACACTCTAACTATGTTTTTTAATACAACTTCATTGTAATTTTAATAATTTTTCTTTGCTAACTACCTAAGGAACGTCTTTAAAATTCTGAAAAATAGAACCTAAAGTCATTTTATAAATATATGTTTAAATATTTATAATATTCACTGCATAAATATTTTACGAATATCGTTGACAAGCCACAGCGACGGTGGAGCATTGAATTTCAGGCAACTATATTTTTCATCGTGGTTGAAAACACATATATAGGCAAATATATTTTCATATTTTTATAATTTTTTTTAAATCTCTGAATATTAACCTTTTTTTGTTTTGGTTCATTTTATTATTTGGTTCTCAATTTTTCTATAACTTTTAATTTACTTTATATAAATATTAATGAAAACACGTACATTTATAGTATTCACATTTTTCATTATATTAAAATAAAATATTTTTAAAAATATATAATAATTTTATAGATAACTTTTTATAGTAAATAACTGTTTTAGCTTTAAAAAATAATTAAGTTTGAAAAATAATCAAATAAAAAATGACTAAATTTTAAAAATACCACTTAAAAATAATTTTATAAGATAATTGTTTTAATTTTAAAAAAATGGTTATAAAATTAAAAAAATTGTGTGCATAATTTTTTTCTTTTATACAATAATATAAATGAGTTAGTCATTAAAATATATAAAAATAATGTATGTATATTATTAAGAGGTGAATTTTAAGCCTAATTCAACACGTCTATGAGGAATATATATCTCGAATATGAGACTAGATACTGTGTTAAGAAATGAACTTTAAGTCTAACTCAACCTTATAAAATTGGTTTGTAAGATGAGATTTGCACTCACTTATATATAGTTAGTATTATTTTAGTCAATGTAAGACTTTATGATCAAAATAAATTATTTTTTCTTTACTAAAAGATAAAATTGTTCAATAATAAAAATACAAAAGAAGTCATCACATTGCATATTCTGTCTATCTAATGACATAAATATATGAATTTTATTTTAATTTTGGATTTCTTTACCAACTTTGCTGATAAAAAAGTTAAATATAAAAACGTATGAAACAGTTTTAAAGAAAAAAAATGCAAACCATATCAAATCAATTTATGGGATTTGGATTATACGATTTTTAATTATAATTGTATTTTTTATTAAATATTTGTTTTTTTTTTCAACTTTTAAATTAAAAATTATAAAAATATAACTGGTTGGATTCTTAGTTTAATATTAATCTTCTATGTGAATATTATATGTTAAAGATATTTTGCTATGTCAAATAAAAAGTTAGAAAAATGATATTGAAGTATTTGAAAGATTACAATACATGGTTAAAGAATAATTATGTTTTCTATTAGGTTATTAAAAACACTAATCAAGAATTTCAAATTTATATTAGTAGATTAAGTCATCATATCACATTATTTTATTCCTATTTCATTATAATTGGGTCAAACCGTTTTTCTCTCTAATAATTATGAATTTAAGTTAGATGTGAAATGTTTATGGAGACCAAAATCATTTGCTCACATATTTGAGGTTAAATAAGTTTGAGACAATAAGATATACTAACTCCAATTTTGCTAGATGCAAAAATAGTATGAAATCCACATTGGTTATGTATTTTTAGAGATGTTATATTATGAAATTCTTATTTGTTAAAGAAAGTGTTCAAAGTAAACAAAATATATAACACACTTCATAGTTAATATTAATTTGTTAAAGGACTAATCTCAAAAGGTTTAATGAACATACTATTCATATATGATATGAGTATTATCTCTTCAAATTCTTATTTTTAATGAACATATTAATTTGTTAAGTATATTTTTTGCAAAAAATAAAATTTTTATATATTTAAATTTTGATTTTGTTATAATTTGATACTTTGACTAAGACATAATGGAATTAGACATGTGAAGATTAATTACATGAAAATTTTATTCTACGCATCCAATATATTTATATTATATTTTCCTCCTTTTTCCAGAGAAAAAAATAAATTTAAAAACTAAAATAGAAAGCGAATATTTGAAAAAGCTAAAAAAGAAGATTTTATTATGTACTGCCTTTCCTACACAAGTGTTCACAAAAATATGGTTTTGGTCTGAAAATAAGGATAAAGTGTCTTGTAAAGTTCAAAACTATGTGCGGGTCAACAATAATGCGTTTAATACATATCCAGTGAATATAACATAAAATTAAAACACATCTATTCTTATTAGGAGTTAAAAGAAAAGACACTGTATTTAATTATTCTTAATTCTGATTTCATCTTTTAAATCCAACTATAATTGAAAAGACACATTTTGCATTATTCCAAGACAAACCTGCAATTGTTTACCAGTTTTTTCCTTGGAACTTGCCGAACATGTACCTATAGGTCTGTCTCACTCGTTGTTTTCAGTTTTTATTTCTTTATATTAACTTTTGCGAATGCCCCAACAAATACAACTACATGCATTTCTTAAAAGTTAATTTCTGCAAATTTCATTTTTTTAATTTAAATGGCAAATGGGTAGTGTTACGTTACTGCATTAAGGAACAGAAAAAAGACGAATCTTGGTTATTTTTCTTGTGAATTTATCAAAAAGCAAATCAGGTCAGAGGAAATAAGAGAATCGTCTCGTTCTTTTATGGCTGAATCATGTGAGAGTGTGGATCAACAAACTTTAAAGAGGAATGAATATAAATAATAAAAGAACAAGAATCAGATACTGATACTCATACTTTTACGAAAAAGAATCACCATTCATACATACATAGTTGTCATCTCAGAACGTAGGTAGCAGTCAGCAATCAGCAGCCATCAACCATCACCACGTGCAAAAATCAAGAGAATTATTTTGGCATTTTTAATTGCAGTCAAATTTTGGCTTCATCACGCAAAGAACACAAATTTACTGCTATGATATCCTATACTGTCCTTTCAGTCTTCAGCATCAGAGAAATAAACCAAAAGGAACAANCATATATTTTTATTTTATTAATCTATATATTTTATGAATTCTCATTAGAAATGTTGACAACTGTGTCTCCAGGACATTATTTAATACAATTTTATCAACACACTCTAACTATGTTTTTTAATACAACTTCATTGTAATTTTAATAATTTTTCTTTGCTAACTACCTAAGGAACGTCTTTAAAATTCTGAAAAATAGAACCTAAAGTCATTTTATAAATATATGTTTAAATATTTATAATATTCACTGCATAAATATTTTACGAATATCGTTGACAAGCCACAGCGACGGTGGAGCATTGAATTTCAGGCAACTATATTTTTCATCGTGGTTGAAAACACATATATAGGCAAATATATTTTCATATTTTTATAATTTTTTTTAAATCTCTGAATATTAACCTTTTTTTGCTTTGGTTCATTTTATTATTTGGTTCTCAATTTTCCTATAACTTTTAATTTACTTTATATAAATATTAATGAAAACACGTACATTTATAGTATTCACATTTTTCATTATATTAAAATAAAATATTTTTAAAAATATATAATAATTTTATAGATAACTTTTTATAGTAAATAACTGTTTTAGCTTTAAAAAATAATTAAGTTTGAAAAATAATCAAATAAAAAATGACTAAATT